TCGGCTTCCTCGTCTGAGAAATGGGAAGGCTGCCCTCCCGTCATGGCCTGTGGTGAGGGCGAAGCGAGTTACTGACACGGGGCAGGTGGCACAGGGCCTGCAGGGGTGAGAGGCGGGGAGGGGTGACGTAGGAGGTAGGAGGGGAGGGGGGAGGTCAGAGGGGCTCAGGGGTGCGGCTCCTCCGCCGGCTCCTCTGGCCTCCCCGAGGGCGAGCCCTGGTTCAGCCGCCTGGCCGTGCCCCCAGAGCTGATCGTCACGGCGGGCGGGGAGGGGTGACGGAGGAGGGGGGAGGGGAGGGGGGAGGTCAGAGGGGCTCGGGGGTGCGGCTCCTCCGCCGGCTCCCCTGGCCTCCCCGAGGGTGAGCCCTGGTTCAGCCGCCTGGCCGTGCCCCCAGAGCTGATCGTCACGGCGGGCGGGGAGAACGTGCCCCCGCTGCCCATCGAGGAGGCGGTGAAGACGGAGCTGCCGCTCGTGAGCAGTGCGGTGCTCATCGGCGACCAGAGGAAGTTCCTGTCCATGCTGCTCACCCTGAAGGTGGGTCCCACCCGCCCGCGCCGCGGCCGCGTTCACGCAGTGCATGCTGGGTCGGGCCCGGGCTCGGGAAGGGGCAGCCGTCCCCCAGGGAGGTTCCTCTGCCCCCGGGGGTGCGGGCAGCAGCGCTATTGGGACAGCCACCTGCTCAGCAGGCGCGGCTCCAGCTGCTGGACGAGGCAGGAGCTGTGGGCCCTGCTCTTGGCCATGGTTTCGCTCCGAGGTCTCTGAGCTCTGAGCTCAGACCTCTGCTCCTTCCACCAGTTGGGGTGGCAGCCGCACCCCCAAACCACAGCTCACAGGACCCGCCTCCGGGCTCCGGCAGTGACTCCCCCGGGCGGGCTGCGTCCTGGGGGGGGAGGCGCGGCTGATGGTCTGCTTTGCAGTGCACGCTGGACCCGGACACGTGCGAGCCGACCGACACGCTGACGGAGCAGGCGGTGGAGTTCTGCCAGCGGGTGGGCAGCAGGGCCACCCGGGTGTCCGACATCGTGGGCCGCAGGGACGAGGCCGTGTACCGGGCCATCGAGGAGGGCATCCGGCGGGTGAACGGGAACGCGGCCGCCCGGCCCTACCACATCCAGAAGTGGGCGATTCTCGAGAGGGACTTCTCCATCGCGGGCGGAGAGCTGGGTAGGCTTGCTCTGCTTTTATTTCCGCGCCCCCCCCCCCCCCCCCGTTCCAGGTGCAGGGTGGGGGGCTGGCGGGGCCCGGGAGGCACTGTGGTGGCAGCGCCCACCTCCTGCAGTGGGAGGACACTGCTCAGAGCGTGGCCGTGGTGGAGCCTGTCACATGGACGAGGTCTGGGCTGGGACTTGTGAGTTTGAACCTGTGACATCCGACTCCTGCGGCTCTGGGACCACTGTCCCCTGAGGTCACCAGGGGCCACCAGCCTCTCGTGGGTGGGACCCCGAAATTTGCAGTCAGCTCACGTGGCAGGTCGGGGTGAAGCCCCTCGGGACTCGGCCCTCCGAACCGGAAGGGCCTGTGGCGCGGCCTCAGCGGGGGCAGGCACTCCTGCGGCGTCTCCGGGCGTTTCAGGGCACGGAGCTGGCAGTGCCGCCTCCGTGAGGTGCCCTCGGACCTCAGGCCGGAGGCAGCCGCACTGAGGGCGTCCCTGGCGCGTGTCCGGCTGTCTGGCCCAGCACTGAGCGCGGCCAGCCAGACAGATGTCCTCGCTGAGCAGTCGCTATAAATGACTCGGTCAGGAGTCCCCAGTCACCCCGCCCAGCGTGAGCACCGAGTGGACGTCCAGCTCCCGGGACGCGAATCAGCCATGTCCCCTGGCTCCGGAGGGCGCACCCAGGCCACACCCGGGGATGGGGAAGGGCTCTCGGCAGCCCCCCCACCCCATCTCGGGCCGGCAGAGCATCATGTCCAGAGCTGACAGGACGGGCACGTTCGTCCTTGCTGTGCAACACGTCACCTCAAACTCAGCAGCTCAGAGCACAGGCGCTTGTCATTCTGCGGGGGGTGCTGGCTGGGGTCTCTCCTGAGGTTCCAGAAGCGTCAGCCGGGCGGGGCCACCTGCGGGGCCACTTCCCGCTCCCTCGGGGTGTGGGACAGGCCAGGGGCCTCCACGTGGCTGCCCCAGAAACGGGCCCCGAGGGCCAGGGCAGGACCTGCCGTCTTCCTGTTTGGTCACGGGAATCATTGATTCAAGTGCATGGAAGTCAGAGATGGGTGCGGGTCAGGGGTCAGGGGTCAGGGGTCAGGGGCCAGGGGCCTGGACGTGCTCTCACTATGAGGGACGGGAGAGAAAGGCCTGCGGCCACGTGAGGAGCAGGTCACTCGGGCCGGCTCGAGGGCTGGCCGCTGGGTGGTGTGGCTTCATTCCAGGCACAGGACTCGCGGTCCCGGGTCCTGACCACACGCCTCAGGTTCCTCAGGCCTCACACGCGCCCCCATTTCCCTTCCAGGCCCCACGATGAAGCTGAAGCGGCTGGCCGTCCTGGAGAAGTACAGAGACGTCATCGACTCCTTCTACCTGGAGTGAGGGCGCCCAGGCCCCCAGCCCCCCTGCTCTGCGGCCGGGCGGGGCTGCTGGCCGCTGTGAGGCCCGGGGGCCCGGCATCCCCTTCGCGGGCCTCGGGCCAAGTAGCCGGCCGTTCCGAGAAGCTTCCGTGTCCGTAGTTCTAGTTGTAGTGTCGCTGTGTGTTCAGGTGACAGACCAGCTCCCCTTCCAGAGTGAAGGGCCAGTAGCAGCGGGCGGGGAGGAGGGGGGAGCGGCTTCTGTTACGGCTGCAGGGGAAGCCTCGGCTGCCACTCACTCGCTCTGGAATCTGCCGGGCGGCCAGCCCATCACCCGCCCAGGGCTCCCCAGCATTCACCCTTCCTGGCCGCTCCTAGAGCTGCCGCCGCCGCCTGTGAGCCCTTAACGTGTGACTCGGATATTAAACTTCTTAACCCAACTGTCAGCAGGACTGGTGATTGTTTTCTCGGTTGAGCAGGTGGGAGCAGCCCAGGGTGGTGGGTCTTTAGCCCCCAGGACTGTGTGCAGTGGGCACGAGTGACCCTGGGTGCCCGCAGAGCAGAGGGGCCGCACCAGCCCGCTGCCCCTGCCACTCAGGACACAAGCGAAGCGGCCGTTCCCAGGGCCACGCCAGTGCCCCAGGCCCTGAGGCAGAGGCAGAGGGACGGGGAGAGGAGAGGAAGCACACAGTCAGCTTCTGAACTCTCAGGCCCCAGGGCCTTGAGGGGGAGGGACGGGGAGAGGAGAGGAAGCACACAGTCAGCTCTGAACTCTTTTATTAAATAAGTGTGAGCCGGGCATTCGCAGGCCAGTAAAGCAGGGAGCAGCAGCGTACCACAGCAAGATACAGGGAAGGTGGTGAGGTCGGGGACCAGCTGAAAAGCACCCCAGGGGTGGTCGTTAGGGACCCCCGTGACCTGGGTGCCTCGTGCCAAGCACAGGTCTGCGTGGATCCACGAGGGGCAGGGGCACACGGCTGCCTGTTGATGGAGATGGCGACTCGGCATCTGAGGCTACAGAGACACCGTGCCGGGTGCAGGGGGTCGGGCTGAGCCACGCCGGCCGCCCGCTGCCCTGCACCTCGCCGCCTGGTGGCCGTGCTCTGGGGAAGGGAGAGGGCGGCCGTGGGAACAGAGTTAACAGCGTGGTCAGGCTTCCAGCAGGGCCGGCGGAGTGTGAGGTGCTGCAGGAGTGTGGATGAGCTCGGTCAGCTGCCCCGTCCGACGCGGCCGTCGGCTCAGAGCTGTTCCCCGCGATGCTCAGCGCGTGTCAGGTGACAAGGGACTGCGGCCCTGCCCTTCGTGACAAGCTCAGGAAAGGGACCCTCAAGGTAACACAGCACCGAGCCAGCAACCATCTGTCTTTGTAGCCAATCTGTTACCTACGTCTGTTCAATGAGTTACCTCTCGCCTATTTCTTGGCTGGGGGTCTACTCGCCCTCAGTAATTCATAGAAAAGACCGCTGTCCTCACTGTCGGTGCCATAAAGGAACAGGCCACAGTCACCGTGTTGGACGCCAACTTTCCTAGGAAATTGCTCTCGTGCCCGTTCATGTCATGAGAATGTCATCTTGTGCTATTACGTCAGTATTGTTTTATTTCCAGTATATTTTTCATAAGCTAAGGAAAACTTTTTCTTTGAAAAGTGAGATGTTTTCTTATTAATTCTGTGTCATATTTACAGCTGAGGAAAAACTGTTTTAACTGAAGTGTAAATGGTTAACAATGGCAAATGATACAGTCCGCTTAGAGTTTACAAAAAATATATACCAAATAGACACGACCCACCAGACGAGCACTTGGGAGCAGGCCTCGGGCGTCGCCTGCATCCTCTGCTCGGGTTTGTTAAAAGGCCGATTGGAGTGGACTCGGTCGGGGACGGGGACCAGCGCACACGGGCGTGCTCTCAGGCGGCTGACGTGGCGGCGTTAGGAGTGGCTGGTGCGGACACGTCGGCGGGAGCCTTACTCTAAATCCTTCACTCGCTGGCAGATTTCTTCTGTGAAGTCGGAGCACTTGGCATTACCTCCCAAGTCTTTGGTCAAACTCTGAGGAGGGAAAGCAAATTAAAAACGCATCGCACGGGGCCAAAGCAAGGCGAGTTCTGCTGAAAGCGCCGGTGAGATTCCAGCCGAGCGAGTCCTGGCGGCGCTCCTTCCCCCGGTTCCTCCCAACGCTCACGGCGCCCACCACGCCCGCCCAGCACGGCAGAGGCCCTGTCCAGAGGACAGGCCCCAAGGAAACACCGATGATGGACACTTCACATCTAAACCAGGGATCCGTGAATCCCCTGGGGAATGTCTAAAGTTGAAGAAACTTAAAAAGACCTATTTTGATCTGTTTTGGAGGCTGGGAAACAGACTAAGGCAGCATGTACGTCACTAACTGCAACGCCTCCCACAGCCGCGGCCCCACCAGCGCCTCCTCTGGCCACGCCCACACGGGCCTCCATGCGCTTCTCCCTCCACCGCGTCCTGCGTAACCAGCAGCCCCGTGCTCTGCTCTCTGTGGCTCCGTCGTTAAACTCACAGACGCAGCAGCGTCAGAATAAAAAACGCAAAGTCCTCTGCCCTTGAATCGACTCTCTGGCTGCTAAAAACAGGCCTGGGTTTCTTGCCTTTTCGCTGCCAGAAGTGATTTCAGATTATAGGGCTGTTTTTAAAGGAGCCAACCCTGAAAACTGTGCTACGTGAAACACGGCCGTCAGAACGACAGGTGTGAGGCGGTTTCACTGGGAAAAGGAAAGGTCGGAGACGGACGGTGGCGATGCTGGCACGACGGTGTGAGCGTGCTAGACGCCACCGAGCTGGACACTTCAGAACGGCCGGCTTGGCACCAGGCGTATTCTACTGCGACTTGAAAAGGAAGAGGCCTCAGGTGATGGGAGGCCATCACCTCCTCCGTCCTCCGCCCGCGTGCGGGAGACCCATCCCCTCCGTGGCCACCACCGCCATGGAAACAGTGAAAACTTGCTGGGCAAGAGCCGGACTGGGCGTGACCCAGCTCTGCCAGGTGGACCTGAGACCTTGGACAGATGACTGAGTCTCTCCGTGCCTCAGCTTCCTCATCTCCAGAATGGGGTTCATCCCAGGACCCCCCCATAGAGCAGTGTGCTGAGGGGGCGTGCGCTCACACAGCTTTACGGGAACTGCGAGCACCCCGTTAACATCAGTCGTTCTACGTCTCCCTTTCTGACGCACGTGGTATAATGTACAATATCCTGTGTCGTAGACACGTAGGAGCTGGAGGCCCGAGACCTTACCTCATTCCTCAGTGAGTTGTCTTTCATACCTTAAAACATACACAGTAGGTTTTTACTGGGAGGAGGAAAAAGCCGCGTGGAAAACGCGACGGCCTTGGCCAAGATCCCATCGCCACCAAGGGGACACCCGGGCCTGCAACGGCTCCAACTCCCCACGCTCTCAGCGCCTCAGCCCTCTCTTGCGAAACACGCGGCCCCTCCCTCAGGAAATGCATGATGCGCCCACACCCGGCGTCCACCCGGGACCTCGAGGAGGAAGCCGCGCTGCGTCAGTCCTCGGGCTGCGGGGCGCCACCGCCTGCCCCCCCAGGGGAACCCCGCGGAGGACGCGGCAGGTACCTTGCCTCCCTTGATAGTGGCGAAGCAGGCGGCCTCGATGCGCCCGGCGTGGTCGAACATCCCCATGTGGCGCAGCATCATCGCCGCGCTGAGCAGCAGGGCCGTGGGGTTGGCCATGTCCTTGCCCGCGATGTCGGGGGCCGTCCCGTGGACCTGCCGGGGAAAGCAGCTCATCAGGGGCCGCCCCCGGGGGAGACCCCGGGCAGAGGCTGCCCCCAACGCATCAGACAAACGCCTAGAAACAAAGCCGCACAGAAAGCAAGGGCGAGAGGAACTTTTTTTTTAATTGCAAAGCTACGGACTAACCATCTCTATCAACTTTTGCTAAATTACTTTAACTGAGGAAGGATAAGTGCACAAAGCTGGGAAATGAATGGAAAAACCTCCACAAAGCATCACTTTCTTCCAACAATGCGAACACCCAAGAGTTCACACATATCTATACAGGTCCCCTCCCGGGTCCTCACGCCGTCCGACCCGCATTCTGCTTTGGGCGTCAGAGGGTCCTTACCGACTCGAAGATCGCGACCCCGTTGGCGCCGATGTTGCCACTTGGTGTCACACCGAGCCCTCCAATCAGTCCTGCACACAGGTCGCTGGGGGCAGAAAGGATTTGGGTGTCGGTTTGAAAAAACAAAACATCTCCCCCAGCACCTCGTCTTCAGTCTTCAACACCCTCCTCCACCAGAAGGACCAGGCCCATGGGGAAACGGCCCAGGACTAGTTAGGAGCCGGGAGGA